CCCACAAGGTTTTTTCCTGACAACCCCCTTCTGAACCTTAGAAAACATATCATAGGGAATATTCGAAGTACTCTATCCGCTTGTTGGTCGTCACCTTCTTCCATAGGACGACGTGTTGTAAAGATCTCATCTTTTGTCGTATTGGTCAGTAGTCGTGGTCGTCCAAATTTGGACCCATACAGTTAGTCCCTCCGCTTGTCGAGGTTGCGGCTTGATGCGTCCTCGATAAGCGGACATCACCCATACCTGTGGAGAAATTTGATTTTATGAAACGCCATGAGTTGGCCAACAACGGAAGGTTAGCGTGCTCAACGATACCCCTGGTGGTGTGTCTTATCGGGAAAGGATGTCACTTCCACGTGTGTCATCATTATGCGTGTTTTCAGGACAGGGGTTGAGGGCTTGTCGCTTCGATTTCGATGCCATTCTGTAGCCTTCCGCTTCGATTCTGGCGCCACCCAATCCTATAAATAGGGGGAGGGTTTGTTTTTTCAAAAACTCTTGGCCATTTCGTCTCTGGTTATTCTTTCTTATCCCTCCCGTGTTTGCTCTAACGATTCCTTTGCTTCCTTTTTTCCAATCTTCGTTCTTAGCTTTTTCTATTACATTAACACATTTTCCGCCGTAGAGATGCCTAGAACACATCGATCTCGTGAGAGGGTTTCCGACGCCACCCCGTTGTCCATGGCGCTCCCCCTGGTGGTGAGGACATGATGGTGGAGGAAGGGGACAACTTTCCCACCGTGGAGGAGTTATTACCGAGACACCCTATGTCTCGAAGCAACTTTCTTAAGGATCCTCCTCCTACTCCTGCCCCCGTACTCTCTGAAACTAAGCAAGTCCATATCGGCGCTCTCCGTGCAAAATATAACATTCCCACTCATATTGAGATGGTTCCAGCGGGAAGGGACTTCGTGGAAGTCCATAGGCCTGGGTATTGTGCTTTTTATGAGTACCCCTTCGTGATTGGTCATTCCTTCCCCCTTCTCCCGTTAGCGGAAGAATTCTGTCGATTCTATTTGCCCAACGAAACTTTCCCCGCACACACTTAAAATACTCGTGTTGTTGACAAAATACGCAGAGTTGGCGGGGTGCGAGGAACCGTTCACCACCTTTTACACTTGTTTTCTCCCAGCTTTCATAGGGGTACTATGGTACATATGAGGCACCGTGGGACAAAAGGTTTGGTGGTCGGAACCGATAACCGGGCAAGTCATAAATTTTGGCATAAGTAATTCTTCGTCAGAACTGAGAACATCGTGTCTGACCCCGCTAGATTCCCGGAGCGGTGGAACGAGAATCGTAAGTGTCGCCACTTGTTTACTCTTTCTTTTCATTTTCATTCACCTTAGTGTTTATTTGTTTCTCGTTTGCAGCTATGGGGTGCCCACCTCACCCTATTGCAGGTATAAGGGATTGGGTAGCCCGTCTGCTGTCCCATGTAGCGGAGATTAGAGACTGGCCCGTTTTCGTGAAGCGCTTTGGGCCGAAAGTTTCATCTGGTAAGTATCTTCCTCTGTATCTCTCTTCGACTGTATACCGTCGTCTATTGATACGACTCTTTATGATGACAGGTCGCGGAGCTTCTAGGCGGAGGGCCCCAGTCCTTGCATTTCGTCAAGTTGTCGCCTCCTCAGGAATGCAATTCACTTTGGATGATTCCGCCCGAGAGGGTCGTGCTCAGTTGGTACAGGCGAGGAAAACCTCTCGGGATATGGTCATGAGGGGGGAGATCCCTTCTTTACCAGTCCATCACCTCGTGGATGAGTCCTCTAATAGGGATGAATCTTCGTTGATAAAGAATAGGAGAATAGAGCTTGGGCAGAGCGTGGACGTTAATACCGGTAAGAGTAGGATGNCTCTAATGGGGACGAGTCGTTATTGAGGAAAAGGAGGAGAGTGGAACTTAGGAAGGATGTGGTCGCGAATACCGGTAAAAGTAGGATGGTTGTGTCGCAAACAGCACATGTGCCCATGTTTGTGGCCGACACCATCTTGGCGGGGAGGTCTCCCCAAACAGAAGGGGTTTACCAAGGAGGTGGTTCCGTGCACTCCGTTGAGGGTGGCGCATTGTCTAACGTCGGAGGGGGCCTACTCGTCGAGGGCGAAGGCTCGGATGTCGACCGGGGAGATGTTCGTGAGTTTTTGGAGTGTCACACTCACGTAGAGGTCAGAATGGAGGGTTCTGATCGACACATAGTTGTCCCTGGGAACTACAACTTGTTGTCGGATTGTGATCAGGTGGCGTCTACTTTAGCTCCTTTATGTGCTGCCCCTGAGAACAAGGCGCTCAGAGCGATGAGCAATACGGAGCTATCCCGGAGCGTCTCTGGCATGGCCCTGCAGATAGATATCTTTCTTTTCATTTCGTCGTTGGGTTCGTGTTATTGTTTTTGGCATGTCCTTTTGTTTTAACTTTACTTTTTGTGCCAGACCTTTATCATGGAGATTGAGCACGAGCGCCGAGAAAGGAGGAGGACGACCCTCTATGGAAAGATGTCTTCTAAATATCAAGAATATCGCACCAAACATCGTGCGATGACCGACATCTACAATCAAGATCCTGACTTCAAACTGTTCCACGAAGGGCTCAAGCAGAGGGAGGATCAATTGGCGCGTAAGGTCGAGGAGTTAAGGGAACGAGACGAGGACCTTATAAAGGCTATCACCCATAACAGTGAGCTCAAGGCATCCCTTAAAGTGAAGGAAGATGAGCTTGAGCTAAGTAGGGGGTAATGGCCGAGAATTCCGACTTCCAAGCAAAGGTGGCCAATTTAACTGTCGAACTGGATATGAAGATGGCGGAGATCAATGAGCTTAAAGGTGAGCTGGGTGTGAGTGCCGATAGATTGGAGATTGTTATCTCTGAGGCGGCGGTTTTGGAAGATGCCCTCTGTGTTTGTAGGTCGGAGCGGACCAAGGAGAAGAAGGCGTCCGCACTTAAGATAGCGGGGCTTGAGGGGCTTGTTCAAGGGCTAGAGGTCGAACTGTCCGCATTGAACAAGCAAATGGTGTCGCGCCCCCTTTTTCTCTCGCGAAATAGGGTTTATGACATTGACAACTCTTTTAACGGGTATTAAAAGAGAAGAATCGCCAGCTAATGATTAAAGTGCATTAGGACACTAAGAAGAGTTTGATTTAGGAAAACCAGAGATCGAGTAAGGGCTTGAAATTATCCCGAAGGGAAGGTGTTAGGCACCCTTCAGGATCCACTAGTGTGGTTCCCGGCCATACTATAATTGTGACTTTAAGTAAGCAAATAAGAGTTTCAAATATGAGGGGGTTTTCACATAAGGGTTGCAGATAGATAAAATTAAAATAAGTGAAAGGCAAGCTGAAATTTGAGAAAAACAGTTTAAAATTTTGAAAGGTAAACAACGAAATAAACAAGTAAAGGAAGGGGGGTCCTAAGTTTATAAATAATATGGATCACCCCACACAATGTCTGGTAATCGCTTCTCGACGAGGGGTTACACGTGACATTATCGCGTGATCATCACATCCATATCTACCCTTTCCCACCCCGTTAAGGTGTTAAAACGCGGAATAGTCTCGTTTACTTATTGCATGCTGTTACTCGCCCCAATTCTATCATCCACGGAGGTGCTTGGGACTACTAATCCTATAATGGTGGAAAAGTTGGCTTATTTGTGGTTTCAAAATGGTGAAACACTTTTCCAGAGCAGTACAAGAGGGGTAAATACATAGAGGTTTATTTAAGGACAAAGTCTTGATAGTACATGGTTTGTGCAAATAAGGAAAGGAATCAGTTAACAACTAGTAAATCAGAAATTGAGGATTTCGTATGAATGAACCATGTCAGAAAGATGGGAAGGATTTCGACTTAAGAAAATCAGTACCAATCAACTAAACTTATTAAAAGGAATTCTGAATCAATCACAAGTTGGAAAACCATTTTGAAGAAAGATTCCTCATATATAAAAGCACACAGACACGTTAAACATGAAGAAATTTGTCATGCTATTCAATAGAAGAGCATAGTGTAGGAGAATCAGAATTGTGTGCAAACAAAAGAAGTTCACACTTAGTTCATAGACCCAGAAATAAGTCTAAAAGAGTCAAGGGTCCTCAAACAGAACCCTAGTTTGATCATATGACCAAACTCGGAGGAAACCCCCAAATTCTAGGGTTTTCGACTCGAGTCAAATACAGAGATGATGAGGCAATAGGCTTAGAGATTTCCTTTCAGAATCTCATGAGAAGACAAGCAAATACAAATAATATTCAAAACAGATA